ATGATAGGGGGATGTGGCAAAGCTGGAAGCCGCCTGACAGAGCCAACCTCTTCACGTCTTTGGTCATGGCTGCTGTCTCTGCCACTCTTGCCCATGGGACCCATTAACACTACAAGAAACTTTGGAGTTGGCATCTGACTTGGAGTCCTTGAGAGGTTTCTCCAGCTTCCTCTCAGGTCTGAGGTTGGTGGGCTCAGCAGCAAACCCACCAGAGGGGTCATTAAAGTGGCATGGGCTGGTGCTGTGCTGCTGAGCTGGGCCAGGCTCTGGGGACCGAAGGAGCTGCTGACAAGTGGGCAGAGCTGCAGAGACAGAGCTCTGGGCAGGAGCAGCTCCTCTGCAGAGCGCAGCAGGGCTGAGGGCAGTGCCAGGGGATCTCAGAGAGATGAGCAAGGCCGAGAGAGACCTTAAAGGTGGTCAGGACTGGGAGGATGACCGAGAGCTCACTGGAGGAGAAATCTTCGCAGTGCTGTACAAGGTGAGTCTGTGGGTGCAGGGCAATGCCGGTGGAGTTGCTGGAGGCATCTCCTAAAGCTGGAATAACCCACAGCTTGTGCAACCTGTAAGGGGGAGAGAGGGGACTCTTGATAGGAAATGTGAATCTCTGTGAAGGCAGGGTGTGCAGGCAGGGGTGGGCAGGGCTGTCCTTGCCAGCAGGGTCCCTGCACCCCAGGGGCTGTGTGCCGGGGCAGGGACTCTGCCGCCTGCCAGGGTCAGCTCTCCACCTGCCCGGGGATCTCCCATGGAGCTGCTGTTGGGAGAAGCTGTGGGTGGAAGCAGCAACCTCAGGAAGGGCAGGGTCCTTCTGCTCTTGGAAAATGCTCTGTGTGTCAGGGCTGCTCACAGCTGCTGATCACCCCCAGAACATTTACAGAGGCAGTAAATCAAAACAAAAGTCAAGGCAGGGTCTAACTTAAAGATGAAGACCTTTCCAGGTTCTGTGCTCTCAGCTTTCTCCTAAGGGAAAGGAGCTGTCACTGTGACCCTGAGAGATCAGCAAATCTACCACAAAACTCATCAAGTTCCTTCACCCTCTCCTCTACCCACAGACAGCACCAGCATCACCTTTGCTTGCGGCATCAGGCTGGATCTGCTCCACTCCTTAGGAGCCGCACAGCGGGAGCTGGCCCTGGGCAGTGCCCTGCTGCTGGGAGGGGTTGGCAGGGCAGAGCTGAGCACACAGCTGGTGGGATGGGCTCTGGGAGCACTGGCAGGGGGAGACCTGGGGACAGAGCCACAGCTCCTGGCAGGAACAGCTCCAGGCAGCAGAAGACAGGGGCAAGGGCTGGGGGGAAACTGCCAACATGCCCGGGGGGAGGCTGCCTTCAGCCAGCTCTCTTGGGCTCCTCCACTGGAGGTGTCTGCTGGCACCTGATCGCACTCTCTCTTTCGAGCATCTCCTCTTAGGCACCCCCGACTGCCTGCTCTGCTGGTCCTGCAGGGCTTGCGAGCTGCCCCCAGCAAGGCACAGCTCTGCCGTGGGATCCTGGGGAGTGCTGAGCCTTTCCTTGGGGGTGGGCACTTTTCTCTCAGAGTGCTTTGTTTCTCTCTGGGGGGTCGTGTCCTGCCCCCTCCATCACAGCTCCACCTCTGGGCTGGAACACAGGAGATTGCGCAGATGTGCCCTCTCAGCCACTGCTCCCCTCATCATAAACAAGTACAGATATGTATGTTTTTTAAGAGAGTAATCTTTTGTGTGAAGTCATTTTCAAGGCAGCACAAGTGAAAGCGCAGGGCAGATGGGTAAAATCCTGGTGGACACTGCAGCTCTCCTGACTCTGCTCTAAGCCACAGAGAGATCATCCCTTTTGCTTGTTCTATCTCAAGACTCATCACATTTTCAGTCATCACAAAGGGGATTTCTACCCCTCAACATAAAACTCACCATCAC